TACTTAGAACTTTTTTTTCTTTCTCTCTCTTTCTCTTTCGAAAATGCAAACAAACAGGAAAAAAGAGAAAAAAGTTTTTTTTTAGAACTCGACACATGTTCAATTCTCATTATTATATTATATCAATGGAACTAATTTTCTTCAATGATAACTGTTCATGAGTAATAATAGTGATGAGAGTGAATGTTTTTTTCCATTCTTCTCCATGTTCGATAGTGATGTTAATTGTTATTATAATTTTATTCTTATTCATGATTAACTGAATTAACCAGTAGACTCAAGTTGAGAAAATTGAACATGAGAGTAACATGATTTGTGTATTCATACATGATGAGGTTGAGGTGGATCAATGATCAGAAAGTAAATGTAGTAATGAAAAAAAGTTCAGTGAGAGAGGAAAAAATTATTCAAAATACTGTAACTCATTATAATTCCGAATTTAATATAAATAAGTTTTGAGAAAAGAAGAAGAGAGAGAGAGAGAGAGAGAGAGAGAGAGAGAGAGAGAGAGAGAGAGAGAAACTTTTCCTTCCCATTAGAACTTTTCGAAATTTTCGAACTTGAATTTTGTTTCTCTCATTTTTTACTTTTATTTGATTAACACATGAAATCATTTGATGCATTGACTATCACATCAATGATGATGAAGATGATTATGAGATGATGAGAGAAATGATAATGATATTGGTTAACTGTCAAAAATGATTCTGTCAATTGTAATCATCGACTTTGACATTGAATATTAACATTTCCTCTGTTGATTTAAATTCCATCTGATTTTATATATTCACAGTTATTATTATCAACAAGAGAAGAAAAAAATAAGCATTCTCTCTCTCTCTCTCTCTCAATTCTCATCAATTCTATTCTGTTATTTATTTTTGTTTATCTTTCTTTATCTCCATCATGCATTCTGATTGTATTCTCATACTGTATGTGTATCAATAATACGAGCAATTTACTATTAAATTGCTTCTTCTCCTTCATCATCCTTGCTTTTCACTTTCTCTCTCATCCTCTGCATCATCATCTTCATCAAAGGTACTTAGCGTGATGGAAAGGAAAAAAGTTTCTTTGATAAAAAGTAGGAGGGATGATGATGATGATGATGAAGAGGAAGAGGAAGATGAAAAGACCAGCAGCAACATCATCCATCTGAAGATGAAATAACAATAATATTACTTGGATACATGTGATGTAACATGACAAACGTATTACATGTAACATAGACCATAAGATGAGATGAGGAAAAAAAATTATATTCAATGAGAATGTTACAATGAATGAAGAAGATGAAGAAGATGAAGAAGATGATGATGATGATGCATATGATGCAGGGAGGGGAAAATATTAAGCAAATAACAAGGACAAAGATGAGGATGGAAAAGGATAAGTAACTTTATTTAACTTGAAATTATCTCCATCATCAGTATAACTATTTCACTCTTACTCTCATCCTGATTCCTGGGATGTAATTAAATTGTTATAATTAATATAAAAGGTTAAGCACAAAGTATTGACACACTCTCACAATATGATTCTTTCCTCTTCCTCCTCCTTCATACCCACTCCCACAATTATTATCATGGTTACTTGAATCTATTCACCAACATACAGTTAATCATTCCCATTGCATCATCAATTGTTATCATATTAATTGTTTGAACTTTTTGATAAACCTATTTGATAATGGATTCCAACTGATTCTTTTCATCTGATGACTTGATTTCGATAATAATTAAAGTTAATTAGGTTTCAGGTTATTCTCTCTCTTCAATTTTACCAACTAAATGAATGAAAGGTTAACCCTGGAAAATTTGGAAATAGAAAATAATAATAAAAAAAATAGTTCGAAAAAAATTTCGATAACCTTTTCACTCTTTTTCCTGGTAATCTATTTATTTAGAGATTTCCTTTTCTCTCTCTTCCTGTTATCATCATTTTCAACCTTCTCTCTCACCCATTCACTCACTATTTCTTCATCATCATCTTCCTGTAATCCATTAGATTGACTTCTGATAATTGTCACCGGAAAAGGCTCTTAGTTTATGACGAAATAGTAAAAAAGGTAAATGTGAATATAAGAAATGAATAGAACTGGAATACAAATATAACCATGAATATATCATAATGTTCATGATGAATGTTAATCAGACCAATAAGATGGTAATGATGAACATGTAAACGGAAGATGAATGTTCCTTCATTAAATGAACAATGTATTAATTTAGTTCCAGCCAATCATATATTCATTTCGATTCTCAGTTGGTATTAGAACTTTTTTCTTTCCATTTTCTTTCATATTTAACAATCTTATCATCACTTTAAGTCACTTTATTGTTCACCATCATCATCATTTCCAATTGGAATAATGAATTTGTGAATAACATTTTCAGGTGAATCAACAATCTACTTGATTGTTATCAATTGAATAATAATATCAATGGATGATAAAAAGGTTTGAATCAATTTTATGGTTAACATTTAATCAATAATCTCAAGTGTATCATTTCATTGAGATTGAGCATTAAGGATGAGGATGAAAAAGTAAATCAACTAAATGATCAGGATTAAGGTAATAATAATAATAATTGTTTTCCATTTCTATTAATATAATCATTATCATGGAGATGTTATTGATTTATCTTGATCATTTCAATTGTTTGGATGAGGATAAAGATGATAAAATAATCAAAATAGACTCAAGAGATTGACAATTGTTAATATAAAATGTTAACTTGATGATAATGATGAGGATAAGGATGAAAACTAGATTAGTAAGTTATCATTAACTGAATGATGATCATCATCATCATGAAAATCAATCTGAGACTCTTATTGTTTTTATTTGATCCTTTGATTATTATTAAGATTAATATTGTGTCGTAATGATGTTCACAATGATAATTAATCATTTGCTTTCTGTGATAATTAAAGTCAATTTATCATTACTCGTCTAATTTCAATATGAATCAGAACTATTTTAACATTGAGATTACATGATGATCATGATGATGATAAGTTGAGATGATATCTTATATTTACTTTTGTTTTTTTCTCATTCATATCGACATTTTCATCTTAATCATCAGCAGATTAACTCAGTTAACCGTTGAAAAAAAACCCCATGAAGATATTGATATATCTGAGAACTCATCATCTTCATTTTTATCATCACCATCATCGTCATCATTATCTAATACCTTGTGATTGTAAGCTACTTTCACATTATCGTCAATATTATAGTTATTATAGCCCGAGGGCATTTCCAATGGATTATCATGACTTGTAATATTATTTTTACAAAGAGAAAAGGACAAAAAATGTCATCAAAATGATCAATATTGTTCAGAGTATTCAGTTGGTGGAAGATGATGAAAACTATCAATTCTAACATTTTATCTTAATCAATTTCGACTTTGACCATGAAACCATGAGAGATGAGAGAGAGAGAGAAGTAAAATAACACTACTGTCAAAAGTTTCGGTGATCATGAAGTTCTGAGATAATGGAAACTGAAATTGAACTTATACCAGTTTGAAATCAGAGAAAAAGACAAAATAAAAGATGAGGATGCTAAAGAGAATGAGAAACAGATCGATAAAAATGAGTAACATTTTTAGACTCAGATGAAAATAGAAACGTGAACAGAAATTATTATTATATCTCCAGGATCAATTTCGTGAATATCATGGTGATAATAAAATGTTGTATATTCACCTTAATGTTTATCTTTCTACTCTGATCATATTGATCAATTAATTTTATCACAAATCAAATCAATAGAAACGATAAAAAAAGCAAAGTAGTAACTTTTATTGTGAAAACATTTATTACCATCATGATTATCATGTTATTCAATGATTTACTTTGTTTTTTTCAATATTATTCATGGTTGAAAGGATTGAGAAAATTGTTTCAAATGTTAGAGGGAAATTTTCATCAATTCAGAATCATAATCATGAAATAATAGGTTTTTTTTTGTTCTTTATCTTTTCATGAAGTTACAACATAGAATCAACTGAATTTTTATCATGTTATTAATTTTTTTTTCTCCTTCTTTCTCTTCATGATAATATTTTATTACTTATGAATAAACTGACTACACTCAACGGAGACATTTATGTATATATATTAATACATGTAAAGAAAAATTTTATATCACAATCAACAGATTGAATTTAATCAATGTTTAAAGAAGCAAAAATGTTTATTCCTGATTTAGAAATTGTTATTACTCTTGGAATTGTATGTTATCATGAATGATAACTAATCCATGAGGAATCATGATGATGATCAACTGAATCTGTTTCTTTCTTCAAGGAGGAAAAAATATAAAATTTTCCAAAATGAGGAAACTTTCTGAAAATTGATTCTGGTCCAGACATGAAGATATTACTTTTACATGATGCTGATAATAATCATCATCATGATACCATGAGAATGATTTGACTTTGAAAAAAAGAGAAAGAAAAAAAGTTCTGTTCAAAGAAACTGAAAATTGACAGAAAACAGAAAGAGAGAAAGAGATAATATTAAAGTTCTGAAAAAAAAAAAAGTTCTGATAAAAGTTTCGATTCTGATTTTTTGACAACTTCTTAGTCTCAAATATTAATATATAATAACAATAATCTTTCAATATCATCTATCTAATATAATCTGAAGATATTTTCATCTTTCAGGTAAACATAACATGAAGAAGCTTAAAATTGTTATTATTTTTTCTCATGTATTTGTTTCTGATTCAATATTTGACTTTTTGTATCATTTTCATCTGATAATTATGAAAATTTCATAATTCTCAAGATAATATCCTTGAAATTGTTCCCTTCAAGTATTTGTAACGACATTTGCCTGAGATCTTTGTTTGAGAACTTCAGATTTGTGTAATGAATCAAATTCATTCGTTGTATCATGTTGATGATATAAAATTTTCTAATTGTTCTAATGATCTTTTTTTTAATTCTTTTACGTTTTGTTGATTGTTTTTTGCTCTTTAGGTGGATTATCTTCATCAACCAAAGGAATAAAGAGAAAGAAAGAATCGAAAGGAAAATCGAGTTTATCTTCATCTTCATCTTCCTCATCCTCGGTTTCCTTGTCTACCAATCACAAGGAATCATCAATTGATGGTGGAAATACTCATCCACATGGTTTCCTCAATTCAACTGATTTAATTTCATCAATTGCTGGTTCTGGTGTTGGTGGTGTTAATGGTTTATCCTCTTTATCATCATCATCATCAATTAACTTTGATGAACTCAATCCAGGTAAAGTTCATCATCATCCTCGTCATCACTTCCATGGTAATAATAGTAATAATAATTCAAATGATGAGGTTGATCTGATGATGATAAATGGTGATGATAATGAAGATAGTCACATTTCAACTGCAATATCAATGGAGTCTGGTCATGATGATGATAATTGTTACAATGATGATTCAATGGGTGGTGATGGTGAAGGTGATTTAATTGACGGAAAAGGAAATCGAAAGAAAAAAGCTCGAACCACTTTCACTGGGAGACAAATTTTCGAACTTGAAAAACAGTTTGAAATTAAGAAGTACCTTTCATCTTCTGAAAGAGCGGAAATGGCGAGGACACTTTCGGTCACAGAGACTCAGGTAAACAAAAAATGACCTAAATTCAGTTGACTGTTTGATCTAATGGAAACTTTTCGATATTTTCTTTTTCTTTAGGTTAAAATTTGGTTCCAAAATCGACGAACCAAGTGGAAGAAATTAGAAGGTATCACCAATGCTCAAGCAGCAGAACATCGAGTCTCTGGAGGAGGAGAAGGTCAAGGAGAAAATAATAACAGTAGTGGTCAAGCGAAAGTAAAAAAATCGAAAGGTTCAAAGATAAATTCCAATTCATCTCGAATTCCAGTTAATAGTGATTCTGAATTAACGGCAATAAACAAACCCAATGAGTCTACAATTTTTTCGGAATCTTGTGAAAACGCTGATCTTATGGACGTTGATTCGAACACTTCGAACAGCAGTTTCATCGGCGGACATAACGACCGGAAGGAGAACAATCAACCACCTCGAAAACCGGAAGAAGACGAAGAAAAAGAAGAAAATTTCAATGAAAACATCGAAAAGTTTTCAGATAAAATCAAAGACGAGGTTATAATGAATGAGAAACAATCAACAATTAATATGATGTTTGATGACGATGATAATGATGATGATGATGATGAGGATAGTCAAGCACCTTTGAAGATTGATGAAAATGAAGGCATTTCCGATGAAGATGAAGAAGATAATTTTAATAATAATAATGAACAATTAGTTACAAATAAGAAGCAATCAAACGATGAAAATTATCATAATGATGATGAAGATGATGATCGAAAGGAAAATGATCAACCCGTTTTCATGAGGATTCCGGTTAACGCATATGAAGATAAATCTGATTGTAATCACAGCGATACTAAAGCTGATTCAGAATCAGAACAATCAACTTTAGTTAAATGTTTGAATATCAAATTGAACGAAATGCCTTCAAATGATAACAGGGTTCTAGATGTTAATTGTATCAATGATTCATCTTGATCGATATCAACTAATCATCATTCATATTCATCAATTTATATATGTATCAATAATTATTCATATTCATCGCAATTTGATTTACAAGGTTTTTTTTTGTCTTCTTCCCTTCACTTCTTGTATTTAATTTTATCAACAATTAACGGAAGGGATTTGATTTGATTGATCATTAATATTTTAATCTCCTAATTACAATGATAAATTCATATTGATTGGAATAATAAATTTAACTCTGAGAGTGAAAATGAAAACGGAATTTGTTTAAATGTCATGAGAAATTTTTCCTCTCTCTTTTCTTTCTTTGTCTAATTCAATCATCCAATTTAACAATTAACTAATTGTAATTCATTCTCATCACAAAAAAATCAATATAAATATAAATACAAATATAAATATTTAACTGTAATTAAGATACAACAATAAAGATAAACTATCATTCAATCATTTTCACATTGATGGTTACTCTTTTTCCCTTCTCATGCAATTGATTCAATTCAATTAAATTAACTTTGTTAATTGTTTGGAATTTACAAATTTAATTATCGATAAATTTCATTTTCTTTGGATTTTCAATTTTCCCGCTTTTCCATTTTGTGTTCTATTCTTTCCGCTAGATGGCGCTACCAATAGAGTTTCGATTTTGTCTCATTAGCTTTTATTTTGTTTTCTTCAACCAAAATTAATCACCGATAGTTTGAAATTGTCTTTGTGTTTAATTAATTTTGTTTCTTTTGTATGTTAATTGGTTTACTTTTGATTGTGAATTAGTCTAATTTTCTGTTTTCTCTCTGATTCAGTTGTCATTCGTTGTCAATTATGACTTTGGCTTTGGAACCTTATGTTAACCGAACCGTTTGTGTTATAACTGCCGATGGTCGGAATATTGTTGGTACATTGAGAGGATTTGATCAAACAATTAACATTATACTCGATGATTCCCATGAACGTGTTTTCTCAACCACCTCAGGAGTTGAACAGGTTCCCCTTGGTCTTTACATTATAAGAGGTGACAATGTTGCCATTATTGGAGATATTAACCAAGAACAAGATTCCAAATTGGTTTTATCCAATATTAAAGCGGAACCTCTCAATCCGGTAGTACATTAAATTTTTTAATGACAATCAATGAGAGATTAAGTTTACCCAAACATATCAAGATAATAATCAAATGTACTCTCATTTAACTCATCATGTTTTCTTTTTTCAAATTACGATACGATTTATCTTTCACTTGATTATCAGTAACTTCGCGAGTTAAACAAAAGTTATTACAAACTCAAACTCGTTGGCTGTATAATCTTTTTGTAATCAATATATATATATAAGTATTAATATATAATAAATATGATACAATTAATTAATTTTGTGTGTGTGTGACTGTCAACAATTTACAAGTTGATTTGATTGAGAGGCAACTTTTGAAAGAGTTACAATCAATGTGTATGTGTGTGTGTGTCTATGGGATTGTTTTGTTTTGTTTGTTGATTAGCAAAATCAACACGAAACAATTAACAAAGTGTAAACAAGTATTTATAAAGATGTGCTTGTAAAATCATTTGTGATTAAGCTTAATTGTGAGAATTGATTGTTTTCCTATGATAATAATAAGTTACATTGGTAATAAAAAAAAAGCTATTCAGAGGATGAATAATGTTGATGTTTATCGTTATAACAATTACATGAACGATATTCAGTTACACTGGTTGATCGAGGTAAATGTTTACATGACCCATGGTGATGATGATGACCCGTTGACCCTTGAGATGATCGTTTCGGACATTGATTTGATTTTCTTCTTCGTCTTCGTCTCCTTTCAACTCCATTTGAACTCACAGTTGACGCTGGTTTACGTGGATAACAATTAACATTGGAAGATGAATTTAATCCGACCATTGAATTGATAACGGTAATTGAATTATCGTTTGGTGTATCTACATCAATTGGTAGAGAGGAATCTTTTTTATTCAATGATGACGAAAAACTATCGGTAATTATTCGTGAATTATGATGATGGTGATGACGATGAGAACGATGATGTTCTTTGGGTAGATTAGAGTGATGATGAGAATGAGAATTTAAATTTAAATTCGAACTTTGACCCGTTAAATGTTGCTTAGTTCCTGATGATTGTTCGATTTCTTTTTCATTCCCTCGGGCTATTTCATCTCGTCTTCTATTTGATGGTAATGTTGGTGGTGGTGGAGATTTAGATGTACAATGATCGCAAATATCACAAAAGTAAACATCCCAACATCGATTACAATGGTTATTCCTATGGTGTGACTTTGAGGTTGATCGTTTACTATGAGATCTATGGTTATGATGATGATGAGAATGTGATTGAGAATGGGAATGGGAATGACAATTATATCGATGACAAGAGGAAGATCCAGTTGAAGATGAATTGAATGGGCGAACATGAGAATCACCGAGTCCGGAATTGGCGTTTGTCGTGGTAGACACAAATGGTGGAGCGGTTCGCTTAGAGTAACATGACCAGGGAACGGAAACAGTGGACATCACCTCAGATCCACAGCAAACTGAAAGTATTTCCGCTTGATCATCATCTCGATCATCTAAGGCTCCAGGAATCGATGACGAAGACTAAATGAAACAACGAGAAAAACAAATAATAATGAAAACAACAATTAATCATATTAATTAATCTCCACAAATCAAACAATCCAAATCTAAACACAATATTAACTTTGATTATTTCTCTTGCGACAAAGGCGCTTTTTTCCCAATCTCTCCTTAATCTCTTAATCATTGAGCTTAATTATCGCGTAGAGATGATTAACTTTCTAAAGATTAAAAATATCAACACTAAAATAGAAAAAAATATTTCGATTATGAAAATAAGATAAAGTTTAATGGAGAAAATGAGATTAGCTTTTATATCTAATATTATCTCAGGTTCTATTCCTTTGGATTAATTTGGATTATCTTTTTATCCTCATCTTTTTATCCATCATCATTATCATTATCTCAGCAAATACTTTGTTAGTTTAAGGAAGAAGACGATAAATTGTTGCAACAAAACGTTAACTACAATTAACTTTTTAGGTAATTAACCCATTACTTGGTTAACATTTACAGGTTAATTAACCTTTCAACTCTATTATCACTAGGAAAAATTAAATTCCCTGCAACTAATTACTAAGGTTAACACAGAGATTCCAACAGGTAAGTGACAACAATTTAACTAACCAACTATTATAATTACCTAACGAGCATCTTTCCAATTAATTAGTTTAAATTTGTGATTCCCTTGAGTTTAAATTTGATTAATCAATTACCTTAATTGTACCAATGAAACAACAAAGAAGCTCAATAATTTATCACAAATACAATGTTACTTTTTAAAGATAAATTATTAATCTTTGGTTAAGATTAAGGATGAAACAAACATTCAGGATTATTAACCGATTAAGATTAACGATAATGATGTTTATACTTTGAAAATTACACATTTAAGCTTTAATTTAATCCTCGAGGATAAATTGTTCATCTGATTTACCAATCATCATCATGAAACAAACAATGATAATAATAATGATAACAAAATCCTGAGGATTTACCATCATGATATCAACTGAATCATCATCATTATCGTCAGATTTAATTTGATTGTCGTAAACAATTAGACTGTTGAATATTGAGAAAGTTCAACTTTTGTCAAAATCAAAAGTTAATGATTATTAAACTAATCAAGATTGAGATGGATAACAATTTAAAATCAAGATTGTAATGATTGGAAACACTGATTGCGAAAAAGTTAATTGTATATAAATGAAATGATATCATTTTCATGATAAAGATGAATCGGAATCATCCTTGAATACAATAAATTACTGCAAGTCATTCTTGTAAATCATCATTATGATGATGATAATGATGATTATCATCATCTAAGTAGTAATAATAATTCAAATTCATTGAAAAAAAAGACAACAACATGAAGGCAAGAAAAAAAGTTAATGAGGATAAGGAAATGACGGTTAATCATCTAAGTCAGTTTCGTTGATTATGTATTAGTTAAATAATAGGTAATCATCAACAGAATCATCATCATCATTATTGTTATCATTATCATTATCATCATGGGGATGATAATGAACATGAGAGAAGAAAAGAAAACTAAATGAATTATGAAGATAAATTTATCTTCTCGTGACATGAAAGATTATCTAATACAAAAGGAATAAGATGGAAAAAAAATTTGTTCCAAAGTAACTAAACTCATTCTGATTTCAGGATCATCTCATTGATGGTGAAAGTTTTATCCACTGTAATCACACTCACCTCCCTCACTCTCACTCTCACTCTTTTCATCCTCATCCTCATAATCATCACTTTCCCTCTGTTTTCTGGATCCATTTAACAAAGTACATTTTTCCTTTTCATTTTCATTGCTTGAGCTTTTGAAGAAGAGGATGAAGATGAAGATGAAGATGAAAATTGGTTAACATTATATTGTGTCAGTAAATGATGATGATGATGAGGATGAGGATGAAACACTGATGAGGAAAGTGAGCCCGTCCAAATAAAGTAAGAGAAAATGATTTTTCCTTTCAAAATTTATCTTCTTTTACACCATGTTGTTCAAAGTTCACCATGATGAAGATGAACAAAAAACTCAGAAACTTTTTTGTTCCTATTATATATTGTACACTATTGATGATGATGATGATGATTACAGTTAATGATGATGATCATGATGCTAAATTGTATAGCAAAACGTGCTAACAGTAAATAAATTTACGCCTTTGATTGTTGTGATAATCAGTTGATTGTTGGTATTGTTTCTCAGTCCATCATTGATAGGATACTTTGATTTAAACCTATTAATAAATCAAACAATCAGACAATTGATTGTTTCAATACCAAGATGAAAGTTACAATGAAAAAGTAATCAAATCATTTCCAATCATGATAAATATAATAAATAACTGTAATCAAATGTTGAAAAATCGAGTTCATAGATTGAAACAATTTGTTAATAATCAAGTTGATTTGTTTCATCATCATCATGGAAATATAATCAATAAATTCAAGTCTGAATTTCATCATGACCTTAAAATCATGATCATCATCATTAATCTTGTTTATGATTTGAATGTTTGCTAAAAAAGTGTAATAAATTTTGTGGAATAGGAAAAAAAACTTGTTAAAATGATCATTATCTCCATCATCCTGTCCATCTCTCTCTCTCTCTCTCTTCATGATGATCATCATCATGGTCATCATCTTGATGGATGACATGTCTAATCTTCCTTCATCTTAATTGACTGTTAAGATGAAATTAATTGTTTATGCCCAAGGGGATTTAGAAAAGGTATCGATTTGAATGGTCAATGGTTTTTCTTGCGGTTTCTTTTCAACTGTCCAGTTTAAGTTTGCTATTCTTTTTGCCAATCGATTGTCCAAATATACAGTTAATTCTTGATTATAATTAAGATGATCAATAATGAAGACGAGGAAGATGAAGATGACCTGGAAAATCAAGTAACTGTTTACTAAACTATTCACTGGTCTAATAACAAGATTGCTTTTTGTATATTCTTAAAGGTCAATATATAAGGATGACCATTAAAATGATCACTTACAATTGGTGGAAAAGTTTGTTGATATAGATTGAATTTATATAACGTAACTGTAAATAGAGTTAATTGTTTACCAGTATTATAGTTGCAATCAGTTAATTTGGTAAACGTTTACAAAATTAACTGTTAACAAAGTTACTATTTTCTTGTAAGTTGATTAACAGTAAATTTAAATTAAACTGTTGATCAACTGGTTGACATTGAATAATGTTGAAAAATTGTTAACTAATTGTTACCGTTAATTAACTTTTGGGTCTCTTTTCAATTTAATCATTTAAATTTTTTCTTGTGAACAGGAAACTTGATTAACTTGATCATCATCATCAGGAAGTCAAATATACATATTAGATACATGGTAATCTTTTTAACATGAAGATTAAGCTTTTCATCAGTTTCATTATTAGTTTGAATTTTAATTAATTAATTCACAAGGATGAAGATGATTGAAAAAAAAGGAAAAGGAAACACATGCAAATGTATATATAGACTTTAATTTTTACAGTTATATCAGGGGGGAGGAGAAAGATGAGAAGGAGTAAATTCATGTTGAAAAAAATGATGATGAAAGAGGATGAGGATGAATAAGAAAGGGAAGAAGAAGAAAAATCTGAAATGATGAAGATGAGGATGAGAATTGTAAAGATTTTTACACATTGGGAAGATGGAAATGAGGAAAGAACTGAAAGTGAGTGATGTTTTGATGGTTCAACCGAAACTGATGGAAAATCGATGAATAACTGTAAAGTGATGAGGATGCTGAACAAGAGAGAGAGAGAGAGACGAAGATGCTTTTTATCTTCCAGCAAGAGCAGAATAAGATTTTTTTTTCCTTTTTTGAAATGGATGCAAAAAAGCAGAAACAACAACGAAAATGAAATAATAATAAACAAACATGATGATGAGAAGATGGAGAAAAGAAAAGAACATAAAATTATTTCTTCTCTTCTTCTAATCATCATCTTCTTCACAAGAAAGTCAATAGATAAATATCAAGATGAAGATGCGGATAAAGATTAAGAGTGAAAATGATGATAATGTAGTTTTATTAACTGTAAAAACACTGTGGTAGGTTTCAAGAAACAGATTATTCTGTTAATCTAGTGATGAGGATCAACGATGATGATGATGATGATGATGATGTCTCAACGATTAACATGCAAGATTATGTAAGATTGTGTTGTTAGATATCAACGATGATGTTTGTTTTATTGTTTTTCCAGATTTGAAAGTTAATACTCATTGGGATTCATTTGTAGTAATAAATGTTCAGAATTTGAGTTTTTATTAATCAAATTTGAACTTTTTGTTTTTCTCAAAATCTCTTGATGTTAATCTTACATTTCTTGTTTAATCCATTAATCACTTGAATAAATTCAATTGTGATCTTCAATGATAGTGATTGTTATCCAATAATCAACTTCAATTGATTTTATATTCAATTTTGTATCTCTATCATTTGGAATCATTTTGTTTTCCCAAATTGACAGTTAATGACAATAAATGATCATCAATCATGTAACACAATTTTCATCATTAATCATCATCAGAATCTCAAAATCATCTCGAGATTCATTCAATTGGATTCAGATTAAAGAGATTGAAACTTTTCATCATTTTCAGTTTGATTTTGTTTCCATCAAGATGAGAGCAAAGATAGAGTGAGAAAGAAAGTGAGAGAGTGAGAGAGAGATCAAGGGTGGGGTAGGAAGATGTTGATTGAGAGGAAAAGTAAATGAAGATCATGGTGTCGGCTTCTTTTTACAGTTATATCGTTTTCTTATGATTTTAACCGCATCGATAAGGTGATGAGGCCTCATGAGGATGCCGGCGATCATCATGATGTGCAGGATGTTATTGATCATCATCCATGAAGATGATGGAGGTGGAGGATGAAATGTTACCATAGTAAAAGTCAATTAAAAGTAACATCCTAATGATAAGTAATCAACTTTTCCTCTCTCTCTCTCTCTCTCTCTCTCTCTAGTTTTCATCTTTTTCTCAGATTATTATTACATTTGATTGTTATTATTGGTAAAATGATGATTACAATCATTGATTAAATAAACTGCTAAGGTGTAAAGGTTGACTGGGTTAATTAATGATCCGTAATCAAATTTTGCCAATTAAATGATCTCATAGCAATGACAACCAACAACAATCAACGACAATATTACTTGGGATTAGTAATTATTATTAAGGATAATGTTAATTTTTTACCTTAATTGTTACTTTCTCACACTCAATTAATATCCTTCTTTCAGCAATCAATCGGCAATTAACCTTTAGAAATTGAAATAATCAACTAAACGTGGTAATTAAAAGTTGAATCAAAACAAAAATTTTCTATCTGTTTATTAATTGTTGTGTTCCAAACAGCAAATGTTCAATCAATCAACCGTAGGAATTAAGTTAATTATTAAAGCTTTTCGAATACATTAATAATTAATAATCAATTTGATGAGAACCAAAATCAAAGTTAATTGTTTAGTATCATCGGATCAATCAAAACTATCGATTCAATTTTTCATTGGTTGGAAACTTTTTTTTTGTTCAAATTGTTATGAGAGTTGAAACAATTAAGTTAATACAAAGTAACTGTTGACAATTAAAGTTAATTGTGGAAAAAAATGTCAAGTTAATAATAGGAAGAGGAAGTTGATATTCTTGGTGATGATGATAATCTTAGTCTCATCCTCATCTTCATGTCTAATTTTATCACCATGAGAGGAGGAAAAGTTATCATTCATTTCAATGACGATAATTATGATTGTTGAGTTATAATTAAATCGTCACCATGATTATCATTGACATGAGTTGATGATAATTATGCAAATCAAGTTAATTTACACAAGTAAAAAAATCAATTTGCATCAATTGTCATCACTGTTAATTTATCTGTTTAAATGGTAACAATTTAAATTGTTTGGTTTAACAATATAACCATCGTAACATTTTGTCATCAACATCATTTACAACAAACTCATAATTCATTGAATCAAATTTAATAATTGTGTTGACAAATTAACAATTATCTTATTATGTAGTAAGTGTAATAATTTAGTTAATTTTTTCCTTCCAAGAAAAAACAATCAAATCAATTAAGGTTAATGATTGATTAAAGTTGATTATCTTATCTGACTCATTACCATGTTAATCCAATGAGAGACTAAAAATATTAATAAAAATTGTTTAATTTTCTTATTAACAACAATTTAATAGGCGATTAAAAGTTTTAATCAGTTAATCCATTGATGGACACATTAGTTAATCATTAGCACCATGAAACCCAACAATTAACTCATTAAGATTAGAGAGATATCATAATAATAGTGATAAAGTTAATTACCAAATGATTAATATGATTGTGTTTATGAAGATGATAATGATTGGTGAAGTTAATTGTTATTAGTTAATTGAAAAATTTTCTCTTACCTTGACTAAAGGTTTGGTAAGATTGGACGGTGAGGGTGGAAGCTTCCGGTTTGAAAGTTTAACCCGTAATCCGGAAGTTAGATTATCATTAATGTTGTGATCTTGGTGTTGGTTGTTCATTGTATCCTTTCCGGTTAATTGGGGTCTTCTCGGTGTTCCCACCATGACTGTTGGCTGTTGACGACCGGTTGACATTAGCTCCTTACGAGTGGGTAAGGGAGGTAATGGAGGTGGATTGGATCGTGGCCCTTGCCATTTGGCCAGAAACGATGAGGACGGACTCCAACAGGTAATGTCACTTTTGGCCTTTGTTGGACCTTGAATTGATCCGCTAAGAGTTGAGGGTGGTGGTGGTAAGGGTTGGGTGATAACTGAAGGTGGGAAACTTTGCTTGTTATTAGAGGAAGAGGAAGTGATTGTGGGTGGATGAAGTCTCGAGATTAATTCACCAATTTCACTTGTAAATCCTGATGATCTGCTCATGGGAACACCAACAACTGATGCAGATCCTGAAACTGAACTTTTTACATGATGATGACCTTTAGGATGACCATTTGAATGGTAACCATTATCAAATGATAATCGAGGTCGATTTGAAAAAATTGATGCGGTCAATGGATGCTGATGATGATTAACTGATTGCTGATGGTCACTTTTAAATGAAGATGTTGATCTTGTTATACTTTGAATATCTTTAGTATCGAAATTATTTTTATCTTTATCGTAATTAGTTAATTGTTGCTGTTGTTGTTGTTGTTGTTTACGGCGATTTTTTTCAAAAAATTTCTTAGCAATTGCATTTAATTTTGGATTAATGAAAACCTCATGATTTGCTTCATGATAATTAAGATGATAATTAACTTGTGATGATGAACTGTTATTTGAATCAATTGTAATTAATGGTGTAGATGAAGTTGATTCAATTAAACTTGGTTGTTTTGGTTGATTATGATTCTGATGATGATTAATCAATTGTTGTTTTGATTGACAATTAGATGAAATATTGTTAATCAATTTACTATTATTACTTTTATTAATTGAATGGATTGATGCAATTCTAGATGAATTGTTAAGGTTAATCAGTGAATCATTATTAGTTGATTTAATTTCCTCGTATACTAAACCATGAGCCAGCTCTTTACCGTTAATTGTAGCTGTATCATCAATATTGTTTAACAACAATTTAGCATTAACAAGAGATGAAGATGAGGTTAGGGTTGATGTCTCATGAGCTGATTGTAATAATGCTTGAGCTAAATGATGATGATGATGATTTAGGTATTAAAGATGATTCCTTGGTCGAATCTGAGAAACAACAACAAAACCAATTGGAACCACGATTAACCTCTAACCCATTATTACCATTGAGATTATTATTATTGGTTCGATGATTAGTATACTGATTATATTGATTATGAGAGCGTCGATTACCATTAGAACCTTTAAACCAATAAGTTAATAAGGTTCGAACATCGGAACGTCGAAAAACGTAAAGAATCATCAAGTAAGATGCAATTAGAAAAGAGGATAAACTGTATATTAATCCATAGAAAAGTTGATCCATTTGAAAGGCATTTAAGTTGGTCGATGATGATGGAAGATAAGATGAGTGGCCATTGGTAGAAAAAGATGAAGATGATGAAGATGAGGATGAGGATGAAGGTAATGGAATCAAATGTGAGGTTGAATTGTTGGTTAGGATTAAAAGTGATTCCGTTAAGTTTGAATTTGAGTTTGAGGTTGGTGATGTTGTCAATGATATAATGGATCCATTGATTGTTTCGGATGAAATTGATGCTTCTGCAATTGGAAATGATGATGATGATGATGATGATGAGTGGGTGGTGGTTGATAGATGATGATGATTTACAAATGAAAATGGTCTCCATGAAACAAGAAATATCATTGATACAATGAGATTAGTGAAGAGGATGAACAAACCAATTTGGGCAAACAATTGTCTTCGATAAGTCCATTCAAGATCAAATTTAATTGATTGATTACCATCAGTGTGATCATTTAATCCATGAGATTTAATTGATGATTCATTATCATCATGGGAAGCATGAAATCGGTCATGATGATGTCGCTGTTGTTGTTGCTGTAGGCTTGTTGATCCTTTAGGTGAGACAATATTGGTTCCAAGGCAGGTTAAGATACAACCAACAATCAGGTAAACAATCAGGTTAAGGCAAAAAAGTAACACAATTGGACCATAGGTAATTATATAGCCTGTGGGTGTCATCAGGGTTACATGATAACATGATGATAATGAGGGAACAGGTTGGGATGATAAAAGGTTCCAAGGTGAGTGTAAAGTTGTTGCAGAGTAAATTGTTGATCCATTTGTGTGAGTTGATTGTTGTTGATTGTAATTGTTGTTATTGGTATTGATAAGTAAACATGATATACAGATCAAGGTACTTAATCCATATGCAAACAGATAATAGCTGAAAATTGTTACCAATGATGATAATTGTAATGATGACTTTTTACCTGATAAGATACCTGATGATAAGGTTGCTGTTGGATGATATTGATGATGAGGATGATGAGGATGAAGATGATGGTGATGATATTGTGAACGAGATTGAAGAGGTAAATCTGGTGGAATTTTTAAATTATCATCTTCATCTTCTTCATCCTCATCTTCATGGTTTGGCTCAATTTCATCTTCATCTTCATTGTCATCGGTTGTTGATGATTTTGTACAATTATTGTTATTGGATGAGGATGAGGTTGATGTTGAATTGATGGTCAATGAAATCTCATGGGCTGAATGAGTTAAACTTTGGTACATTGAGAAAGCACTTAATAACATCCATAGGAGACATGATAAAGTTGAAAAGTTTACCAATGTTGATGATATAAGACAAGAATGATAACCAAGATGGTTACCTGATAGTGATGAGGATGAAGATGATAAACTAGGAAGTGTAAGTGAAACTGTGAATAAAGTGATTGTACTTGTGATTAAGAGTAAAATGTTGATCAGTGAATGTTTACATTTTCCAGGCATTCGAATGAATGAAAATCCAATACAATAGATTAAGATGATTAAAAGAAGACAAGGAAGAGAGAGAAGAGCACCAACAAGGTGAGACCATTGTGACACCATTGATTTAATCATAATTAGTGAATTTCGATCATGAAAATAAAAAATTAGAACCAAAGTCACATAAACACGAAAGAAACGATTTTCCGAATATCCCGAAGAAATTGAACTTTTTCCTTAATCCTTTACATGGAAAATCAATTGGAAAACTAAATCATAATTCGTATAAATGATTAATAGAAAAAAAAGTTCAATTAGTTGATCACATTTTCTTTTCTCTAATTGTTGATTACTTAATTGTTGTTGGCAGTTGATGTTCAAGTGAAAACTAAAGTCAAAGTCCCGCTTTCATTTGCAGTGAGAAGATGATGATGATGATGATGACATGCGCTCTTATTTATCTTCTTTATCTCTTTCTTTTGATAATATTTGTCATCTTTTCTCTTTCAACTTTTCCTCCTCTTCCGTCTCTCTCCTCCTCTTCATCTTTATCATCCTCATCCTCATCATCCCCACCATCCCAACCTCTTACACCATGACAACAACCTTTGATTGTTTTATCCCAAATACAAAGGTTATTATGATAACCTTACCTTTAACCCTTGATTAAAATGATGATAAAACTTTTTCAATCTATTTTTATCCCTTCAAAATTATCATCATCATCATCATCATCATCTTTGGCTTGACCACAAAGTGACCAGACACAGTTTCAAGTTAATGGCTCATCCTAATGGCTTAAGATTTTGTTTCAATTGTTTGTCTTGATTGAAATTTACTATTGATCATATTCATTATTATTTGGTGATTTACTTTAGTTATTAATCATTAACCATTGTGTTTGATTATTGATTTGATAATTATGATTTATGTGTTGACTTTTTATTTTTCATTGTTAATCGTAATCAATTATTATATTTACTTAATCACAATTTACCTTATTGTTGAGCATTTAGATGGGATAATTTGTTATTATCAAGTGATTATCAATTAGGACAATTTAGTAATCATTATGTTTATCATTTTTTTTTTCAAGGAATATATTAATTGATGATAATTTAACCTTTGAGACAATTAAGGTTGCAAGGGTGTTGATTGATTTATTTAATTGTTCACCTTCAAGATCAATTGGTTAATTGTGATTAATGTTACAATGATCTCAGTGAAAGTTATTTTTATATTGACAAACATTTCATGATAATATCAAATTTTCAACTGTAATTGTGATAAAGATAATCATCATTTTCATTTTGTCAGTGATAACTTTTTGTCGCCCACTTATCATTGATGATGATGAGGATGAGGATAAGGATGAAGATGATAATTGTGAGTTTGTAAACAAAACTTTGAATTAGACAAAAGAATCATCTAAGTGTTAACTGAAAAAAAGGCGATGAAGATGAAGATTGAGAGAGAAGAACCTAAACTTAAAGTTGTTGATAATGATGATGAAGATAATGAAGATGAGGATGCTGTTAACAAGAATAGAAAGTAAGTCTTAAAAGGAAAGGAAAAATGAAAACGAAGATGAAGATGATAAAAGATGAGGATGAAAAATGGTTAAAAAGATGCGACTACTAAAGTAACCACTAGTGATGCTATTTTCTTGTAGGTTTCAAATTGTCTTTTGCATGTTGATGTTTTTTTCTGGGAAATGATGATGATAATGATTATCTCGAAGAGACCAGGTCAAGGGTCAATGCCAATGATGACAGTTAATTGCCAGAAACCTGAAAAACTCATAAAAAATGGGGAATCTGTTTTTTTTTCAGCTGAAATTTACTCAGGACTTGAAATGTTACTTGAAATTGTGATGATTAAGATGCAGATGAGACAAGATGAAGGTATAAATTTAGTCAAAATTAAGTGTCTCTTGTAACTTGTCAACACAAAGATGAAGATTTCCTAAGTTCAATTAACTGGCCGCGAAAATATTGATTATCCTTTAAATGATTAAAAGATTTTCATGTTTCACTTTCCATGATAATCTGTATCATGTACTATGGTGATGTTTGTAAAAGCTTTTCATGATATTTTCATAGAGTAGATTAATTTTTCTTGTTGTCAAAATGGTTGTAATAGATGAAAAAGTTTAGATCAATTCTGTTAATGATTATTGTTAATCACTATGTTTAGGTTTTCATGTAATATCTTGCAGAGCAGAATCTTTTGTTTCCGTTTCCAGAGCGAAGATATTTTTTTCCTCTAAAATAACTGTTTCCTTTTTATTGATCTCATAGTATCTCCTCTGTATCCTTTTACTCCCTCTGATTATCATCATCATCACCATTTTCATCTTGCATTTAAACTGCTTCTGTTATGGTGTCATTTTTGTAAGAACCTTGAAAAGGATGAAGAAAGGGAACATAAAAAGATGAGAAGAAGATATAATGAGAGAGAGAGAGAGAGCAAAAGAGATATGATGATGATGAGAAAGGCAGGATAAAGATCACCATAACTTATGAAAAATAGGGAAGATAAAGTTCACCAGAACATGAAGAAAAACCCATAGACTTTCATAGATTATTGGTAATAAGCTTTTTAAATGTCTGGGATATAATAAGAGAGATGAAGATGAGGATGGAGAGAGGAGGTGGAGGAAGTGAAAGAAACAAACAAAGATACAGTAAAAGTGGGTGAATAGTGAGCGTCACCTCAAGCGGTTGCCTTGTTGATCAATGATTTATGGCCCATATCACATCGTATCTTTGTCCATAGGCCTTAGAACTTGACTCTCTCATCCATCTATCTACCCATTGAATATAACACAACAAAAACTGAGGAAAAAAGAAGCTGAAAGAAGATGAGAAAATACCCAAAGCTCATGATAATGAAAAGCAATGGCTCATATCCATTGGGGGCTTAATCATAACCCATACCAACATTTAGCTTATCAGTTTTATTTTTATCTGTGTATTCACATTGTACTCAACTCCATAGTATTACTATTATATAAATACACATTAACCCACACAACTGAATATAATATTTACAAATGATAATAAAAAATATTCTCGAACCTCGAATAGTGTTCAGAATTCGAGGCAAAATTTTAATCATATGTAAATCGAAGTGAAAACTTTTTTCTTCTTCCAAGTAAATTATTATTATTATATTGTTCTAATCATATAAATATTATACAATTCACCATAACTGTCATATGTTAAACAATGAATATCATTTTTATTGTGACATATTTACATTACCTGATAATTTATTATTCACTTTATTTAATTATTATACAATAAATGATAATCTTAATCTTTTCAAAAGATAATCTTTCAAATGGATTAAGATAATAATCGTCAAGTTAAGGATTAGTTAAAGTTAATTACATCTGATGACCGTTGATTGTTATAGAATCAATTTTCTTTGCTTTTTTCTTTACTCTAATAATAGTTAATCAATTGATTGTTGTTGTGTATTATTATTTTTAACAATCGAGCAAATATTTACCCAATTGATTTAGTTGATTGTTTCTGAGTGTAAATAAGAAATAGATTCAAGGTGTAGTCATGATTAATTGATTATCATGTTAAGTTTTATTGGAATTGAAACTTTAAGCAATCAAACCAATAGTTCATTAGGATTAATGGTGATCAATCTGGAATCACAATTAACTGATTTATCTGATTGAGTTGAGAAATTTTTTCCTAGAGTTCTAAGATAATGAAAGTTAATCATCCTGTTTGTCTAATTCCTAATCATCCTGAACATCTCTGTTAATATCATGATAACATGTCATGATAATATATACAGAATCAAATTATGGATTCCAAGAATCACAAGTTACATTTACTTTCTTCCGTTAATCGTAATGATAATCAGTTAATCATTATAATCAGAGTTTCCGTTTTTCTAATGAATGATAAACATTGAAAATGATTGGGAAAAACTGTTTTCTTTTGGATAACATTTATTTTTCTGGTTAATTTTAATTGTAAATCATTTTTGTTGATTGTGAAAAAATAGAGAGGAAAGTCAATTGTAAATATTAACAGTTACAGAGACAATCAATAAATAACAATCAACTTAAATGATGATGATGAAATTATTATACTGGAAGATACAATGTTTGATATTATTATCAATATCTTCAAGTTATTAGTTAATTTCCTTGGAGATTTAATAGAAACCAGAAAATTTTTATCCACTTATTAAATCATATTGATTAATATTATTGATTGGATATTGAACTTGACTGAGTGAACTTTTTTCTCATCTTTTCTCAGAATTGATCAGCTTTTCACTCTGAACTTATTCAGCAAATTATCAGTCATCATGGTAATGTAATAATTATCCCCATGAAAATGATAATCACCTGAATTAAATGTTTTTAACATCATTAACTCTGATTTTCAATTGAATTCTCAGTTGTTAACATGAGATGATATCATGATGAACATTTCATGAACAGGAAACAAATTTAACATTCAAAGTTATTACAAATTTAGATAATGATTCATGAACATGATGATTATTTGAAACTTGGTAAAGTTGCAGAAAATAGAAGATAATTAAATGAATTGTTAATCATGATACTAGAGGAAATTTAATTTGATAGGATAGCAAAAAAGTGATACAATGATAATAGCAAATCAATTGGAATATAATCAAATTGATTGATGATTAACTCCGTTGGTCAAGTTAAATGATCCAGAAATGGTCAACATTGATCGTGATTAACATTATATCATCATCATAATCATCATCTCTCTGTGTATCTTCATTGTTATCATCATCTTCTTCCTCCCTTCATCCCAGACCATTTAATTTGATAATCATCATCATCCAATAAGGTTCATCCACTTCATCCTATTAACCTTCAATACTGACCAACGATGAAAACAAATAAAGAAAATCTCAACTGACCAATGCATAAGGTTCATTAAATTAATCCACACAATATATGCTGACCTGAACAGTAAATTCAATCATTGGATTTCAAAATTATCTACAAACAGATTAATCTGATTCCATGAAGAATAAAAAAAAATCAGGCAAACAATAATAACATCAGAACTTTATTCATTGGTCATGTTGTTGGCAGTTTGCAAATTCAAATATTGATGATCCAGTGATAGTTTCGGGAGAGTAAATCATGTACACTGAATCATTTTGAAATGAGAAATCTGAATACAAGTTCAAATTCAGGTGTATGTACATGAATGATGAAAATTCTGAGGGTGAAAATAAGGTTCGAAATTCAAAGTTGTACCATTTTCGTGTTACAATTGTCACTAATATCATTTGTACACGATATCCATTTTATACCAATTTAATCTCGAAACTTTATCATGCCCACCATCACCCCCTGTAATTCACTCTCTCA